CGTTTCCCTATGCATTTGCTTATGCTTATATATAGACCAATCAATTTCCTTATGCTTATGCGTTATGCTTTATGTAAAAGCTTGTGCTCTCGGCTTAAGACCGAAGCATAAACCAGCCATAAGTATGGACTGCTAGCGGGTTGCATATCCTATAGCAAAATTAAGCGCATAGTATACCCAAGTATAACGGTTTTGGTACTCGCAATTTGCGCGCAAAATTCAAATCGCCATCAGCTACATTTTTTTAAATTCTTTAATATTACTTATTTAACTACTAATAAATATAAAAAATAGTTAAACAAATAATGCAAAAAATTTAAGAAAACGTAGCGGATGATAATTTGAATTATCTCGTATCAATAAGGAATAACTAATAATTTATTTTAGTGATGCGAACGAATAAGATAAATTTGTAAATTTATTTTAGCGCTGCGCAGATTTTGCTCGGTTTTTGGCATCAATTTGCTCTCAGAAAATATTAGTAGGTTTGCTCGTATTCTGCCGCCGATTTGCTATCAAAATTATATCAGCAGATTTCGTTACATTTCTGCTGGCATTGTGGTGACATCGTTGGATAAAACAAATCTTGTATTAAATTTATATTTTTATTATCAGCAAAATTTGTAGCAAGTTTTGGCAAAATATGTTTTCAGTAGATTTGGCTATCTGAAAACTTTTGTCGAAAACTTTTTTGAAATAATGCAACTCTTAAAATATTTTAGGTGAACATTTAAAATAAATCATCAGGTATAATTAATAAAAATGTTTATTGAAAATTGTTATTTAGTAAAGTAAGAATTTTTGTCTAGAAGTAATTTTATTTTATAATAATTGTTATACATCTCGCATTTTAGATTAATTAAATATAATTATAATTGAACAATGCACGCTAATGTGTTGGCCAACACACATTACAGCATTTCACAATTCTGTATGCGGTACTACAATTTCACTCTTTTTATTTTCTTCCACCGCGAGATTGAGTATACATTTGCATTTAGCGAGATATACGGCATTTCTGCCATTAAGGTTAATATATAACTGCATCCGAAAGAAATCACAACGTATCCCAAAAACATATTAACCTGAAAACAAAAATTACGACAATAAGGGCGGTATTCATAGTCCGTTCTTATATTCAAGATCGTCTTAAGAACGAACTTATATTCGCTCTCTTCGTCAGACACAATCTATGTGTGACGAAGAGAGCGAATATAAGTCCGTGCTTAAGACGATTTTAAATATAAGAACGGACTATGAATACCGCCCTAAGAGTATTTTTGATCGGTATCAGTTTTAGTAAGGCACTAGATATGTAGGTATTCTCATCCCCATTTTGGTTCCTATTAGATGGAAAATTATAGCGTATACAGGGTGACACTTATAGCGTTTTCGATTATACAGGATTTGAACGACCCAGGGTTGATCAATCACTATTTTACTATAAATGCAAGTCTTTCATTGGTGGAGAGATTGCAATGACGTCATTAACCAACCCTGGGACGTTCAAATCCTGTATAATCGAAAACGCTATTAAAGACTGCCCACTAAGTACATAGCGTTATTCCTTGCCAAAAAATGAGTCGAAAAAAGTCCTGAATCATTTTTAATAATTGACGTGTTACACATGTACGCTATACTATACTATATACGCTATAATTCTCCATCTAGTAGGAACCAAAATGGCGGATGAGAATACCTACATATCTAGTGCCTTAGTTTTAAATGTTTATATTCTTACTAGGAACAGCAATTCTATATGGCTGGTTGTTTCACCATACAAGTTAATCGATTGTATGATGAAAGGATGTATAAGATAAGCGCAATACGTGAGTCTACTAAGAGGAATGAAGCCTTTGTAGATAATATTTTCTCAATAATGCCTGTAATAAATAAAAAACATTTGAGGAATTACACTTTTCGAAACCTTAGCATTTTTCTTTACATTATTCTACTCATTATAACAATATGTAGTTAAAAAATTGATTAAAAATAAAATTAAGCAAAATACAAATTATGAATAATACATTGCAACAATTTTATTTGTTACATTTATACACAGATTTAGATAATAATATTATTATAAGTAAAATAACAAACCTCCGTTTTTAGTGGAGCATGCTATTACAATCCATCCTATACCAATGGCCCAAGCAGTTTTGCTTAATGCAATATAGATAGCAGTAGATAGTACTGATATATGTCGCTTGTAAAGGCCGAACAACACAGAAATGTTACAAGCACTTCCAAGGCACCAACATAAAATTACAATTTGCTGAAATTAATGACAATAGTAATGAAAGCAATATACTTAAATAAACTAAACAATTTTTTTCCTTAAATTATTAATTTATAAATAATTATTTAATAATTTATTTACATATTATAATAATTATTTTAATAATTGCGCATTTTTCACAAAATATTTGGGAGGGTCCCAACTGCCTACATTCCCATTTGCCAATAGCTTCATTTGCCTACGGCATTTTGTCAACAGCTTCGATTGCCGACATTCCTAATTACCTACAGAGCGATTGCCTACAAGCATTATTGTGCACATGCAAAAATTAAAAATACACACGTACGTTTGCACACATGACATTATTGCGCACATACACATTGCACACATTACATTATTGCGCATATACACATTGCACACATGGTATTATTGCACACAAAAAAATCAACAGATACACAGTACTCAAAGGTTTATAATTATATGATTCCACGTGGGTTTGCAACTTTTCGCGCAAAGCGAGGTCCAGTTCACATCACCCTGTGCTTCAGATGCAAGACAAGGTTTATATCATAAAGTCATGTGTGCAATTTGTATGTGCGCAATAATATCCTGTGTGCAAAGTGTTAATACGATTTTCTTATTTTATGTGTGCAATGTGTATGTGCGCAATAATAATTTCTCGTGTGCAAACGTATGTTTGTATTTTTAATATTTACATGTGCGCAATAATGCTTGTAGGCAATCGAAGCTGTCGGGAAAATGTTGTAGGCAAACGAAGCTATTGGCAAATGGGAATGTAGGCAGTTGAAGTCCTCTCAAAATATTTATATCCAAATACAAATAACATTTTACCCTATTTAAGATCAATTTTTCTTTTAGCTTTACTAAAATGTAACCCATAATTATTCCAACAAGATATGAACTTATTCTGACCCATGATGGCACATATAAAACATTTGCAAGTCTGAGCATTTCCTCAAATCTGTAACAACGAGAAAAAACATTTATTTAATAATAAGTTTTATGATTAATAAAATCTTTCTATAACTTACGTCGGAACATATTCGTAGGTATATGAAATATAGCCAGACAACACAATTGTGCCGATTAAAAGAATGCTCAAGATGACGACAGCTGTGTAAAAGTATCTGAAATTTACTTATTCAAATATGTGCACTAAAGAAACTAATTGTATGATACCGTCAATATATACGTCAATATACAGTCAACTTACATAGTAGATAAAATTAATAGGATAACACCGATTATATAGAATTGCATATCAATGGCAAGATACCAAGTCCAAGACATACACTGCAAAAAAATAAGGTCTGAAGAATAAATAAGCTTTTACATAAGCATGATATTAAATGAACATTTTAAATAAACATATATTTATACCATTGTGTTAAAATCGAATAGATTATTAATATACAAAAGATTTCTCCACCAATATTTCGCGCAAAGTTCGTGCAGTTTGTCACTCATGTAAAATTGTGATGTTTTGTCGTACCAAGACCAATTCAATTGCGTTATTCCAATCATCATCATATAAGCCGGTGTTAGCCTTAAAAGTTTACCAATAAATTTTTGTAAAAGTTATTATTACTTGTTTCATTCCTTAACTTTGATTTTTAAATTGTTCTTACTTTATATTCTTTTGTTTTCTTTATTACTATATTATTTATTTTATTATATTTTTTGAATTGTTTTGTTATTGTCCATTAAAACAAGATAATGAAGAACATACCGTATAAATCTTTTTATTATATAAAAAAAGAACTCATTTAGTTTCGCTCTGTAGTTAATCGGCATAGTTTTCTCTTGATCTTTTGCATGCTTTAGATATGAGTAGGTCAATAAAAATCCGCTTAGAAAAAGAAACGTCTCAACCACTGTATTCCCATTAGTGATTATTTGAATGAGAAAACCGGTGCCGAATCTTATACCCCATGTTCTATTATCTATATGTACAAAATGATTTCTGTTATGCATGAAAAATATTAATCGTAAAATATAATACAAACAATACAATTTTTTTAAATTACTTGCCAATATAGTCAATTGAGTAAAAATATGTGTGAATGTTGATAATCCAAATCGTGGAAATCAATCTTAAACCGTGAATAATAGATATTGAATCATCTTCTACTTTCGTGCTTAATAGTATTTTTGTATTTGTATAAATGGAGAAACATATTAATATTTTTCCAAGTTTACTTTCCTGATGCGATGGCAAAGCAGTTATTTCCATCTGTTCGTGTATATTATTCTCATCTGAATAACAAGTTAAAAGTTTTAATAGTATATTAATATACAAATAAAGATACTTTGAAAATAATGAAATTATTATGTAAAGAAACAATCATACAAAAGTAAACACAAAGAAGGTGTCTCAGAATAGCCATGATAACGCTCGTGAGCGGATAGAGCACAGTAAACCGAACTGAAAAGTTTACCGTTTTGCAATTTTCGCAATAATTATGGAGAAATTAATTAAAAAGAATTGACAAATAAGCGCGCGTTTCTTGACGCGCGTGGCTTGACTGTAAGGCCGAGTCTACAATAGGTGTAAGCTTTAAGCCGTAAGAAATTAACCACTCATAGACAAATCTTAGAAGAATAATCGACTGTAATTGGTCAATTTCTTAAAGTTTACTACATCTATTGTAGACCCGGCCTAAAATGTATGCTCTAAACACGGTGTAAAGCCTTGTGTCCACGATGCTAGAACTCAATCCGAGATCTCGGTCCGAGTCCTCGAACAATAATATTTATACTTGGCTGAATATAGTTAGCGTTGTAATCGAGTTACGATTCTTTACGATGATTTTCTGATCTATGTTATATTGCCAAGTTGGTTTATAGATATCATCAAGTGATGCACTGCTTGATTTCGAGTGTTTTATTTTATTTAGATGGTCCAGATATTGTGATCTTAAATTATTAATTTTTTTTTTGCAATTTCAGTTGTTAGTGGTTGTCCTGTTAATTCTTTGTACTGATTACAGATTATCTGTAAAGCTTGATCTCGTTTCATACGATTATGATAATCAACACTTTTTGTAACATATAAACAAGAATGTTGTTGATATAACATTAATAAAATTTTAACATTTTCCTTATTATCCATTTTTTATTATAAAAAAGTTTTTTCTGAAAATCAATTTTATATATTATTATACTTTTCTTGAAAAATAATATGTATA